AACCCTAAAACCCTAAACCGAACCCCTAGTTTCCGATGTTCCCGTCCTGTCAGGCGGGCGATTGAAGTCGGCCGAGGATGGGCCGCCAGCCCTCGACAGGTTTCAGCCCCTTGGGGCCTTTAGGGTTTTAGGGCCTTTAGGGTTTTAGGGTTTTAGGGTTTAGGGTCTTTAGGGTTTTAGGGTCTTTAAGGCTTTTGGGGTTTAGGATTTAGGGTCTTTAGGGTCTTTAGGGTCTTTAGGGTTTGGGGCCTTTAGGGTTTAGGGTCTTTAGGGTTTTAGGGTTTAGGATTTAGGGTCTTTAGGTTTTAGGATTTAGGGTCTTTAGGGTGTAGGGTCTTTAGGGTCTTTCGGGTCTTTAGGGTTTTGGTGTCTTTAGGGTTTTAGGGTTTAGGGTTTAGGGCTTAGGGTCTTTAGGGTTTAGGGTCTTTAGGGCTTTAGGGTTTAGGGTTTAGGGTTTCGGGTTTAGGGCTTAAGCGGCTTAGGGTTTAGGGTCTTTAGGGTCTTTAGGGTCTTTAGGGTTTAGGGTTTTAGGGTTTAGGGTTTAGGGTCTTTAGGGCCTTTAGGGCCTTTAGGGCCTTTAGGGCCTTTAGGGCCTTTACGGCCTTTAGGGTTTAGGGTTTAGGGCTTTAGGTTTTAGGATGTAGGGTATTAGGGCCCGCAAAAGGTGAGCAGGACACAACAAAGGCCCTTACAAGGGGGCAGATTATGGCGTGGAGTTTGCTGTAGAGGTGGGGCTTAGACTTTGGGGCTTAGGGCTTAGAGTTTAGGGTTTATCAGGTTCAGGGTTTGGTGCTCGGAGTTTGGCGCGAAGGATGTCGGGCTTAGGGTTTAGGGCTCAGGGTTTAGGCTGTAGGCCTCGACTCGGAGATGTCGCAGATGCCCTCCTCCACCTCTGGAGGGGCAAGGGCACAAGAACCATCAAGCTGCTAGAGTGTCTCATATTGTGGGGCTATGGGGTTTAGGGTTTAGGATTTAGGACAATATAGTAACTTGCGGTAACATATGCTTTCAGATTCTGATACTGTTTTACATGCACGCCAACCTCACGCACTTGAGGCAGATGCTTTGTTCAGGATGCGCTGCGCCAGCGTGTGAAAGACGTCCTGGCCGCAATCAATGTACCCAAACCCTAAACCCTGAACCCCAAAGTACACGCAGGCAGTGCGGCGGCGAACCACAATTGCGATCTTTGAAGCTCTTGATCCGGCATGGTGGTGGCTCACCAAAAAAGTGCTGCCGGCTCTATCGTTGAAGCTCGTGCATTTCATGCAAGCGTTTGGTAGTAGGTAAGATGCGTGTGCAAAAAGCGATTCCTGCACATTCTCCCCAGTGAGGGCGCTCGTCTCCAAGAACAAGATGTCCTGCTCGGGCCACAGACAAGCGAAACACCTGCTCGAACACACACACACACACACATATATATATATATACATACATATATCCACGTGGCAATGAGGAAAAGAGTGTTACAACAATGAGCTACGAATGCCAACACCACTACTCGATTTACCAGTGTCTAGTAATCACTCCTGCTGTCATGTATTTGTGCCGGCCTGTTCTTGCGCGAAGCGGCTCGCCTCCAGGAAGGACACCTGCGCCCAGGACTGTGAAAACAGGGACTCCGAAGAAGGGCTCAGGGCTGGTCGTCCGAAAACCCTAAACCGTGAAAGGTTTTGTGAGACGTCTTTTCCTTCAGGCTTATCCGCCTCTAGAACTCCTAAAAGGAGGAGGTTTTGGAAGGGCATTCACGGTTTAGGGCTTAGGGCGTCCAAACTCCGAAAATGCTGGAGAGTGAGCGGTGCCTGACGCTCCTCCTTGAGGTCCCGCTTGTTTCCCACCTTGGCTTTGGGTGGTTTAGGGTTTAGGGTTTTGGCGTTCTTTTCCATCCATGGCCAGCAAGCAAATGAACAGAAAACTTTATGGGGTGGGCATGTTGCCGACACCCGACAAGTACTTAACCCAGCACTTGGGGGCCTTTTGCAGGGTCTGCAAGGCCAAACCGTGCAACTGCCCTTGCACCCCAGTGGCTGCTATGATGGAGATGTCTTTCCACGCCTGCTCGCGGGCATCCTCGCATCACCGTCAGGGTTTGGCAATCTTTCCAAGATATAGCACTGTACCCTCGGCTCCTGTAGCCATGTCGGCAGGTTGTTGTACGAGTCCCTCGAGGTGACGTCCTGAGCACCAAGGGAAGGACACCTCGCATGCAAGAAAGCAGCACCGTTCTTCGAGGTGCTTGCGTACAGAATCAGCGCACCCACAGCTCCCCGGTAGTACCTGCCAGCCACATGGGGAGACTCTGAAAGTGAAGTTCTTGGCAGCGCAGCACTGACAAATTGACCTAAACCCTAAACCCTAAACCCTGAACCCGGTGCAGTCCCGCATGAATCCACATCGGCGCACGACCGGGTCACTGCCCGGTATCTTTCCTGGAAAACTCTGGGAAAGCAGTGAAAAGCCGCATCGGATCTATGGCATCCATGGCTTCAAGCTTCTGAGACGTGCTCAATTCCATCTTGGGTTTCTGGACATTCAGGTTTTGCATGCCTGGTCGTCCGGTGGACGAATGGCAAAAGGGAGTCTGCACCGAGTTCTCGTGATAAAGGGGGGGGGGGGTTCCCGTCCCATGGTAGGCCCGATCTCTGCAAACGACGGCACTATGGAGACCGGACGAAATTGCAGGACAGCGGCCAGTAGCGGCCAGTTTAGACAACATGCCACAAGGAGGAATAAAGACACGTGACACGGCTCAAGCACACAAAAAAAGGGGGCTCAAGAACTACCTATACTATCTTGGGAGTTCCTTACTATAGTTATAGTATAATATACCCCAAAACCCTATTCTGCTGATTACTGAGGCCCCTATATTAAACACGTCTGTCTGTCGCTGCACGTGCGCAGGCGCCAAGTCCCTTGCAAGATGAGCAGATCCTTTGCCACAAAATTCTGGGTACGGTTGATGATATAAATCCTGCATGACCCATAATAAGGAGTATACCATAATTCCCATAGTTTAGGGTCCTTAAGGTAATGCAGGATTTATATCATCAACAGTGGTTCTCTAAAGTCGGGTCCCCTTTTGGTACGGCGCCCAAAGAAAAAGGACCCTAAAAGGCACCCGAAGCTAGAGAAAGCAAAGTTCTCTGCGCTCCCGTGCCTGGCCGGCAGTGTCCCAAATCCTGGCGATGCAAACTCCAGTTGTAAGCGGTTTAGCGTTTAGCGTTTAGGGTTTAGGGTTGAAGGGTTTAGGGTTTAAGGGTTTAGGGTTTAGGGTTTAAGGGTTTAGGGTTTAGGGTTTAGGGGCTTAGGCTTTCGGAACCACTCTGGGGCACTGGCTGCAGCTTGATCTGCCGGTTCCCAAGGGAAATGATCTTTGTGCCGAACTCCACGCCAATCTGCGAGCTCAAGCAACAGCCGTCTGCACACTGCATCTCTCGAACTTCGCCTTTGGGCCTTCGTTGTAGTCCGATGCTAGCTTTGGGTAAAAGGCTTGCCGTTCTTGGCTTGCGTGTGGTGGCTCCGCAACAAGCAGAACAACTCTCTTCTTCAACAACCGGGCCCAACAAATTCCTAACTTTGCAAAATAGATCAAATACATATATTAACCAAACAAGCTTAAAGTTCTCCCAGCGGCTATCCAGGACAAGTGTAGCCTTCACGATCCGCGGAGCTTTGTTCTGCGGGCGCAGATCTCCAAACACGACCACGATTACGACGACCCAAACGAACAGGACGACCACGAAAACCCGAAGACCACCAGGAGACCTCAAGAGACCACCCAGAGACCACCAGGCCACCATCAAAAAACCACCCTAGAGACCACTTAGAGACCACCAGCAGACCACGAAGAGATCAGCACACCACCGGGGCAACACGGCCAAAAGGCTTCCCCCATCTACTCGTTGAGATTACAGGCGCGACCGCAATGCTTCCCTCAATGCACTGGCAGGACTCAGGAGCACAGCCACAAGATGCCTTCCCGCATCTACTTCCAAGTGTGTCGAGGCCAACATGAGGCCGATGTATCGATCTTACCATGGATCGAACTTACCATGGATCTGGCTTTGGAGGTCTGCGGCCGCAGGGATCCTGCGCAAACAATGCCACATCAGAGCAAACTTTGTGCGCGGAAGCACAATTGAAAGCCGGCGGTCGCGGGAACCTCCCGTCGCGCGCGCGCGCGTACGCGCGCACGCCTGACGCCCACACTAAGGCAGCTTTCGTGGCACCCAACAAAAGCACCCCGTAGCGCATGTCACACTGGTTGGGCGAAAGAAGATTGGCAACAGAGACAACTTTCGGACAAGGCTTCAGACGAGCCCTGAATCCTACATCAACCAATCAGATTGATTTGGCAGCTAGTCCTATTCATGCCGTATGATCATGATCTACTCCGACTAGAACATACACACATACTTCTATCCCATATCCGCGAATCCCAAGCTAAGCTGGGGCCCTGGCTGTGTGGGTCGACTGCTTCCGGAACTTCCCCTCCAGGAACTGATGCATGAAGCTGCTCTTGCCTCCCCAAGGACTTTGGATGCAGAGCTGGCTAGGCTTTTGGAGTCACTTCAGCTTTGAGGTTTCAGGGGTTTAGGAGTTTAGAACTGTCGAGTTTAGAGTTTGAGGCCTAGGGTTTGCGGGTTAAGGGTTTAGAAGTTAGGGCCTGTTGCTTAGGGCCATGACACACACGGGTGGACGAGGCGCCTGCTCCCGCATCACCGATAATGATCAGCTTGAAGCCATAGTCGCACTCCGGGCCTTGCGCTGCGAGTGCCCCAGCTCTCGGCTAAGACGCAGCTTTCTAGCAGAAGCCCTTAAACCCTAGACCCTAAACCCTAAATCCTAAACCCCAAACCCTAAACCCTTGCACTGAAATCCTTGAACAACACTTCAGCCACCTTGACCTTTGTCTTTCTTGTCGTTGTAGACCTGCAGGAGCCAGGACAGACAAGGCTAACAGCCAGGCTTCCGTGGCCCAAAGGTTCTATAATGCTCCTTTATGGGGTTCCTTAAAAGGAAGAATTATAGGGGGTTCCTTAAAAGGAAGAATTATATTCTCCAGGGGCCCTAATAGGGCCCAGCGAATTAAGGCTACTTACACCCTACATCCTAAACCCTAAACCCTAAACCTTAAACCCTAAATCCTAAACTCTAAACCCTAAACACCTACACCCCAAATCCTAAACCCTAAACCCGAAGC